AGGGCTGCCCGTCCTTGGGGGTGTGCAGGGTGGGGAAGGGTGACGCAGCCTGGAGGTGAAAGCCTGGAGCCCTTGACCTTGGGATGAGCCCTCCATCCTGTGGTCACACTGACCACCTGGTGCTGGGTGCTGGGGACTCAGAACTCCTGCAGCTGTCATCGGGGCGGGGGCTCTACAGGTGCTTGGCACTCCCCTTCCCCCATCCCTGGCTGTTAATCTGATGGTTCCCGGCCATGCTCTCTGAAGGACTGGCAGCCTGGGCCCGGAGCTGGGCGGGTGCAGGGCGGTTGAGGGTGGGCAGAGTCAGGTGCCCAAGGAGCTCAGGGAGCCTGGACAAGGGACAAGAGAAGGTGGTGGGGCTACAGGGACTGGATCCTGGAGATTTCCCTAGCATGATCTGGGTGTGTGTGGGCGGGTGGGGGGGGATGTGCTCCTGCATCAACTGGTGCTTTGTGAGTCCATACCTGAGGAGCAAGTGGGCTGAGGACCTTGAGAACTCTGGCCCCCAGGGTCACTGTGTTAGGGACAGGGGCTGAGCCTAATTGATCTTTGTGACCCTAGAGTCCCCGGGGTCTGGCCTATCTCAGGCCTTAGAACACGAGTTTCCAGTGAATGGTGTATGGGGATCAGGAGGGAAAGCCTGTCCTTTTTGAGATGGGCCCAAGGCCCTGAGTGGGGCTGGAGGCTGGGTGAGAAGGATTTTTTTTTGTGGGGGACCAAGGAGTGAGCCACTAAGAGAGAGGAAGGATAGGGGAGATGGCAGGTAGCTTGGAGTGGAGGACAGAGGGGCGGTTTGGCCCAGCCTGTGGCTCTGCTCTGCTCTTGCCTAGGGCAGACCCCTCAGCCTTTACCCACCTCACGTCTCACTTGAGACCCATTTAGTCCTGACAGAAGGCCTATTAGCTCCATTTACTGAGAAGGAAACCAAGAGAGGTTATCAGGTCCCACAGCCAATGAGGGTTGGAGTTGGGGTTCCAACCCAGCCCCCAAGGAAGCTCACCCCCTTCTCCCTGCCCCAGCCTCCAATACCCCACAGGCCTCTCTCCTTTCTGTCCCTGGCCCATCTCCATCTCTCCTTCCTTGCACCCCCTCAGTGAGTCACCTTCTGGGTCTCTAACTTTGTGGTCCCTGGCCCTCTGCATCTTTAAATCTCTTTCAGAAACGCAACCCAGGCCTCTCACTTTGCTCTCTCTTTCATTTTATGTTTCACCCCCAACACATTGCCCCCCTCCCTTCCACTTAACTCCCCTCTTAGCCCTCCAAGGCTGTGCCTAGCAAAGGGCAGGGCCCGAATCGGAGTGCTGGTGCCCTGGTGCTCTGAGTTTCCGCTAATGGCCGCCCCTCACCAGCTCCCCCATATGCCTCCTGCACAGTGCTCCCCATGGAGCATGAGCCTGTACAGGAGCCTTCCAGGTCCCTGGGATGCTTAGCACTCAACAGTTGAAGAAGAGGATCCAGGCGGCTGTTAGATTCTGGGGTGAGGAGTGTCTAGTCCTGAAACTTGGATAAGATCTTTTCAGTGCAGGTAGGCGTCCTCCTTGGGCATTACAGCCTCTTTCCACACACCTCGGACACCCCACCAAGCAAGCTCAGGGTATGTTTTCTTAGGATGGGGACTTGGAAGAGCAAAGTGGGAGGGTCCTGAGAGGGGGCTGCATGGACACTCTGGAGTCCTTCTTAAAGGTACAGATTCCAGGGCCCTGCCAGACCTGTGAATCAGAACCTCTAGAGGCAGGCCCCAGGAATCTGCATTGTAATAGCTCCCTTGCAAAGTCTGTGACCCACAGTATAGCAGGTACTGTGTGACATCAGGGGAACCTCTCACTTCCTTTGAGTCTTGATGGGAAATGGCATAAAAAGAAGCCTTGAATACTTTCAGTGGACACAGAGTGAAGAAAGCCAGCACCTAGGCTGGCAGATTATGGGCAACTTTCTGTTTTCCAAGCTTTCTGAATGTGATCATATGACTTTTCATTTATTATTATTATTCTCCCTCAAATCAGGAAGGGAACAACCCTTGTGCGAGGAGCACTGGACTAGGAGTCAAGATGCCTGAGTTCCAGCCCTGGTTTTGCCACGAATGGGGTGTGTAAGTCTGGTACGTCATCCAACGTGCCTCATAAATTTGATGTTTGTTGGAGCCCATGTCCTTCCCATCCTGGACACCCAGCCTGTGTTTCTTTGCCGCTGCCCCACCAGACCAGCCTTCTGGAAGCTCATTGTGTTCATGGGATGAGAGGGGGACCAGGAGGGGGCAGCTGTGGGGAAGTGAGGGGACCCCAGGGGGCCTCGTCTTTTCCATCCTCCTTTCCCACCTTTCCAACCCTAGGGCCTGGGGAGGGAGGGAGGTGGCAGCAAGAGGAGGAGGTGTCACTGCCAGGGTTCTTCTTCTCACCCAAGCTGGCAGAGGGGCGGGACTGGTGGTGGTGACACCAGGGCCACTCAGCCCCCGCTTTTCACAAGCACTTTCTTTTTTGGGTGGAAGCAATTGGAGGGAGGAGGGTGAAAAATCCAAGGTTGATGAGCCAGGCTGTAAGACCCACTAACAGCCATAAGCCCACTGGCTTATACACAGAAAGCCTCACCTGCCCTATTTCTCCAGATACCAGTCCCCAGGTCCACCTGACTCTGATTCCCGTAACTCTTCCTGCCCAAGAATGCTAGGTGGGAACTCAGGCCACCCTGCTGAAAGGTAGGGGGACAGACCGCTTCACCAGAGGATTAGGGTGAAAATGAAGAGGGGACAGGCAGGGAGGAAGAAGATCCCATCTGGCCTTCCACTGCACTTAGCAAAAATGTCCCCCCAAAGAGGTGTCAGCCTTCAAAAGTCTCATGTCTCCTGGGGATTCAGCCATTCAGGGGAGTCTTAGTGAAATCTCTCGAGATTCCCAAGTTGCCAAGGGTCCCAGCATCACCATCTCTTTCAAACAGTGCAGCCCCTCAGAGAGCAGCAGGCGGAAACTTTTCCTCTTCCTTAAGGCATTGGGAAACGGTGGGTAAAGGGTTGAGGAGGAGGCCAGTCCCCGTTTCTGGTGTTTTCGTGTATCTGGTCCCCATCCTCCAGGGATCCTCCGATTCTCTCCCCTCCACACCCTGCCTGGGTCATGCCTGCCCGCTGGGGTCCCCAGCCTCCTCATCTGCCAACCTGCCTCTCGGTTCAGCTCTAGTTGGGAGCAGAGAGTCCCCCTGGGGCCCTGAGGGTGAAGCCTCGTTCGGCTGGGACAGAGATGTAGAGATGGGGCCAGCCCCCAAGGGAGAATTGGGGAAGGCTGGAATGGGGAGACAAGAGAGGAACCTTGAACTTGATGAAAATTGTCAAGTATTTTTTAAAAGCAGTCTTAAAAATGTAAATCCTTATCTATATATTGACATGCAAAAAATTCCATGACACCTTGTTGAGTGAAAAAAAAAAAAAAACCACATTACAAAATAGCACGTGTGGTGTTTATATAAAATTACAGATTTGTGTGTGTGCAAAAGACAGAAACACAAGTGTATAAGGAGTGCGTCTGGACAGGGGCTCCCAGAAATGTTAATCCTGTTTCCCTCAGAGATGTGGAATTTGTGGTGATTTTTATAGTCCTTTTTTTTAAAAGTTTTTTGTACTGCTTATATTTTCTATATGAGTATGTTTTATCTTTATACACAGGAAAACTCCCAAAGATGCTATTTTCATTTGGGGAAAGAAAAAAAAAAAAAGGTTGTTTTCACCATAAAAGCAGTATAACTATATTAGTCAACAGAAAAGGAGAATAGAGAAAAGCCAAGTGCCCAGAGTACCATCACAGAGGCAGCCCTTCAGAGCCTGTGGTGGGTTTCCTTTCTGTCAGCCAACTCAGAGTCTTGGAAGCAGCTTTTCCATCCAGGTGTAACAATAGATTGGAAAGTAAGTGCTGCACACAGACACAGCCTCCCGTGAGTTCGCAGCCCCTCTGAAAAGTAGACCTGTGTATTTCCCCGTGCGCACAGGAGGCAGATGAGGCACATGAGGCTGACTTTCACACAGGGGAAGTGACTTGCCCAGGTCACACGTACTTGAATGACAGGCAGAGCTAGTCCTGGAACTCCAGTGTGAGCCCTCGCAGCCCTGTGCACTTTACAGTGCCTGCGGCTGGCGGCCATGACGGGTGTGGTAGCTTTTGTGGGCCCGACCCAGCCCAGGGTCCTGCACATCAGCGGCGGCGGCTGCTGCAATCCCCTTTAAGAATCGCTTCCTGCTGCCAAGGGTCCCAAAGTCACCCTCTATTTCAAGAAATGCTGCCCCACCTAGAACAGCACACAGGTTCCAGGTTTGCCCTGGGGCTTGAGGGACAAGATACATGGGACACGGTCCACCCGGACTTCTGGTGAGAGAATGAGGGCAAACACCACGCAGAGCCACTTAGCACAGAGCCTGGACGCACGGCAGGCAGCAATAAATATCTGTTGAATGTTCAGGGTCGCGGCAGGCTCCGAGCCAGCCAGTGCCCTGAGCCCCATCTGGGCCATCACGGAAGGCTTCCCCTAGCAGGGGCCTTTGAGGTGAGCCTTCCACGATGGATAGAATTTCCCCAAGGATCCAGGGGAGAGAAACGGGCTGGCGTTTCAGGTGCAGGGATTGGCACTCCTAGGTCTTGAAGCGCGTACTACGGAGCGCGCGGGAACTCGCTCGTTCCCACCATGGCGCGGGGTGGGGGTGGGGGAGGGGGCAATGGTCCTCACCAGCCGCGGAGAATTTGCCTAGTATTAGCCACGACAGGGCGGGGAGAGCGGGGCGGGGCCGAGGTGGCCGGGTGGGGGTACCCGGGAGAGATTCATAAAGCCACAGCAAAGGCGCCGCGACGCTAGTGACAGAGGCCGGCAAGAGAGGGAGCCAGGAGCTGCCGCGCGCCCGCCAGACGCGGGCGCAGGACCC